CTATAACAAACATGACGAACAAAATTTTCAGGTCACTCCTGAAATATTTTCCTTTCATTTAGCAGACTACTACTACAAGTAATAAAGTTAAAAGGGATGTTAAATATAGTATTGCACATTCAAAGGACTTTCTTTTATTATACTTTTCCTTTCTCATTAAGGTTTGCCTTGCGTGTGATTTCCTCTTAAATATACTGTGATATTTGTAGCTATAACAAGATATTTCTTTAATTTCTTAACACTGAATTTTCAGATCACTCCTAGTAATGCGTGGGAATAATGCCGATGAGGCCAGGCACGTGATACGTACGTCCATCGGACAACAGAAGAGTGAGCATCACATTCATCAGGGTTCGACCTGCCATCAACCAAATCAACTCTTCATCTCCTACACAAACCACGGCCATGACGTTATGGCAGCCCGCACCTCCCCAACTAAAGAAACCGCGATAAATTTTGGTAATGAACAGGTTTTGGAAGCGCAGGAGTCTGTTTGGGAGCTGCGCGGTCGACCGCGGCGTAAGGCCGGTCGACCGCGATCGTGCACGGATCCAGGGTTTGTGCCTGGACTTGGCGCGGTCAACCGCGAGACCCTGTAGGCGAATTTGGTCTTTGTTGCTGGATCGCGGTCGACCGCGAGCTTTGGGCGGTCGATCTCCAATCGGGTCAGGGCCCAGTTTGAGTTTCATGTTCAGTATGGGTTTGGTGTTTGCTATAAATACCAACATACGAATTAGAGTTTCTTGGGCTTTTGTTTGGAGATTGGTTTGGGGATATTTGGAGCACAGAAAAAGAAGAGTTTTTCTGAGCAATTGTTTGAGGGTTTATTTGGAGAGATTAAGAGATTTGTTGGTGAGATTAGTTGATTGGTTTGAGCATTTTGTAATCTCAGTTTGTACTCTTCTTCTCTATTAGTGAAACCCAATCCCCTTCTTGCTCCGTGGACGTAGGCAATTTGCCGAACCACGTAAAACTATTGTGTTTGGATTTGTGCCGTTGTTTTGATTTGTTTGGCCTTTATCTCGACGTTTGTTTGATTTGGTTCTCGAAGCACGCCTGTTTGGTTGTCCCACTTCCGCGCCGCGCACAACAATTGGTATTAGAGCTCCAGATTCCAGATCTAGGGTTTTGTCTTGGTTGGAGGAGTAGATCAATTTAGAAGTTCGGCTAGGGCTTCGTTTGGTGAGAAACGTGGGATCTTTTTGGTAAAGACTCTATATTTTTCAGTTTGGATCTATTCTTCGTTTGTTTCGCATTGGTTTGTTGGCGCTTGGGCCATTTGGAGGAGTAGATCGCTTTGGAGGCTCTTCGAGGGCTTCGTTTGGAGATAAATGTGAGATTTTTTCTATTTGTGGATCTCGTTGCCGTCGTACGGGGTGAGATCGTTTGGAGACTCTTGTTAGGGTTTCAATTTGAGGTAAAATTCTCTCCTTTATCAGTTTGGATCTATTCTTCATTTGTTGGTGCTTTGAGATAGTTGGCCGAGATAGAAGGATTTGAGGCTGGGTTATTTGTTTGTTGATACGGTGTATTGGATTATTGAGAAATACCCTTGACCTGCATATTGAAGTCCTTTGAGCACGTTGGTATGAGCAAGGAGACCGATGTGGAGTTTGGCACTTCTATTTGATGATTGAGGGGTCTTTTATTTGGTGTTTATTCAGGCATTTAGGGGACTTCCAAGGAGGCATCATTGGAAGGTAAATTGGTATTTTGGTTTCCTATGTTGGGGATTGTACTAGGCATTTATGGGTTGCAACCAAGTCCCGTTGGTTTTGAAGTCCTAGTAGTCAACAACAGTTGAAGAAGTGTATTGAGAGTAATGTGAAGGTACTTTATTCTGATTGAAGAGGGAGGTACAAGATGGACCTACTGTATTTGTGCCGAGCTCATGGCAGTTTGAGACACTTCATTGGAGAGGAAACATTGTGGCAACGAGATAAGATGATATTTTTGATTGGTTGTTCCTTTCTGGAGGGGGATCGGCGTTGGTTGTCGAGCATTGGATTTAGTATTCGGGCTTCGACATGTTTGGGTCATCTTATGTATAGGTCGCCAACTGCTGCATTAGGAGTTATTGGATTTGGTGGAGCTACTTCAGATTTTGGTTGGCGTCGGATATTTGGTTACCCAGCATTTGGTCATATCAAGGATGTGAGATTTGATCAGATTGCGTTTGGAATTCAGAGGATTATTTGATTATCGGTTGGGAGCTTCTGATTTTTTTCTAAGAAAGTATGTCATATTGGACTCTCGGCAGGTAGAGAGTGTTGATCAGGTCATTTGGATATCACAGCAGGTGAAGGGTGATGCTACTTCACGTTAGGTGGAGTTTACTCCACATACTCCAGATCATACTGTATCGTTTGAGATTCCAGCTGAGGTGACACAGATTGGGGATCATTTGGTTTTGGATGCAGATGATATTGGTGAAGAGTTGCAGACTTTTCTATTTGATTGAGGGCCTTTAGAGGCTGTTTAGGTGAACTACGTGAAGGCTTGATTCCTTGGGCAAGAGGATACATAGGCAGTCTTTATGATGCAGCCGATTTGGTGATTAGATACCGACATTTGGGTGAGTGTTCGCACTCCCGTTTGGGTCTCGACTTGTTGAGGATTGAGAAGCAGCAAGTGAGACATGTGGCTTGGTTGGTGTCGGCTCAGTTTTGGTAGAAACTTCGTCGAGGTGAAGAATTGAAGAAACTGCGATAAATTTTGGTAAAGAACAGGTTTTGGAAGCGCAGGAGTCCGTTTGGGAGCTGCGCGGTCGACCGCGACGCAAGGCCGGTCGACCGCGACGCAAGGCCGGTCGACCGCGATCGTTGTAAGGACCATAAATTTTGATACTAATTAAAATAATTTTTTGATATTTTAAAATATTTAATTCTTATTTTTAAAAGAGTATTTATATTTTCTTGATTTTCTACAATTTTTTATGATTTAAAGTCTAAGTTTTATATTTATTTAAATGATTTAAATATTTATAAATTTATTTAGTGTAGTAAAAATTTTTAGAATTTATCCTTTGTGTTATCGATACTATTATGTATCATTTTGAATAATACATGGTATTATTATTATTATTACGTATATTTTCGTATAATACATTGTATTATTAATTATGTATTATTTGTATAATTTGTTGTATTATTTTTACTTTTACATATTATCTGTCGTATTAGTATAACTGGTATGTTTTACTGTGTATATAATTATCCCTTAATTATTGGATTTTAAATGTAAGTAAATATACTTTTATTCTCGTTTAATTGTACAATATAGGTATATTTTGACTGTTTCGTATCAACTGTTTTATTAGTACAACATGTACGTTTTTAATTATAGATAATTATTCTGTAATTAATTTAATTTTCAAGTACCCAAAATTATTTATTCTAATTATTTTCGTTTAAATTTCTAAACCCTAATCCCCTTAATATACTTTATATATATATATGAGAATACTGTAGGAGCGCTGGCCAGTTCTCCCACTGGTGCGCTGCCTGGGCTTTTATGAAAAAAACATCGCGGATATCAAGGGAGAAAATCAAAACCCCGCTGGCAATGTTCTCTTCTCCCCAAAAAATCAAAACCCAAAAGCCAGTTCTCCTTCTCCCCCAAAAAACCAAAACCCACTTCCCCCAATTCTCAGATCCCTCTTCCTCCCAACGTCGATCACTCTCATAGCCGCGACCACGAAGCGCTTGTGTTCGCCAGCACCACCGCACCGAAGCGCCACGAAGCGCCACCATTTTGTCGATCTCTCTCAGATCCCCGACATTCGAAGACTAAAAGAGCCGCCACGATTCCTCTCCGCTCCCTCTCCGTCGCGGGTGACCCCAGACCTAGCAGCGCACCGCCACCGGCCATCGCCCTCTCTCTAACTTCGTCGGTCGTGACCCCATCCACCACCGCGGTAATTTCTCTTCCTTTTTTTTTCTTGCCCTTTTTACTTTGAATTTTGATCGGATGCGGCCAGAATATTCTTTGAATTCAAAAACTTCGTCGCTGGTCATTACAGTAACTATCAACGTTAAGTCTGTAATGAATTAAATAAAAGCTCACTAAGATCCTTCCAAGCACTTGTATTAGTAATTCCAAGTGTGATGATCTCTGAATGCTTGGTTTGGATTTTGATACAATGCATGTTAAATTGCTATTTGCCTTTTGTCACTAGTAATCTGTGTTAGATGTCCTGATTTTGATACAATGCTTGGTTTGGATTTTGATACAATCGCAATTGTGTGTTGGTTTTGTCTAATCAAGTCTGCTTTACATCAAGCTGGTGCAGTTCCTATCGTCAATTCCACTCCAACTTCCAGTGAGCATGCTGAAGTTGAAGTTTACAGGTCCAGCCTTCTCAAGAGGTTTGAGGAGCTAAAAACCTGATGGTTTTCTGGCAGAGGGAGCACTCAACTGATTGACGATGGAGCAGGCTTTTTTTCTTTTTTTGCCGCCTCTATTCCCCTCTCTTCCCTTTGTCGCGTACTTGTTTACCATTTCCACCTCATTTATACTGGAAGTTGGATATCTACACTGTCACCTGGTACGCAATTTGTATAATACTTCAGAGGTTAAGACACTGATTGCTTATATTGTTTGTATAATATTTTGGAATAATAAGTAGAGAGAACATGTAAATATTCCAAGAACTTGCATATATTGTTTGCATATATTGTTTGTATAATAAGTATGGAATTTCCACCTGTACAATAGCAAACCAAGCAATATCATATCATATTATCTGGCAAACACAATCCATATTGAGATTAAATATCTAATAAAGAAAAGGACAATATGCTTCATAGATACATAAGCTTCAGAATAGTAGCATACAAATTACAAACCACAAGCAGCTCGAATATTGTTCAACAACTACTGCAACATTTGCACCGGAAATACTTCTTCAAGAATCTTCTTGAAAACAACACACAACAAGTGAAATATTACAAGAAAGTAAACATTTGCACACCTATCATCATTGAAAAGCAACCCGAATTTCACCTGTAGATGAAACAATCAACCACATCATCAGATATTGTGCATGATATAGGACAAATTCAAACTTGAAAAAAACTAAACATATAAGAAATTCACAAAAAAGCTACATATGAAAAATAAAGTAATTGTACCTTGGGAGGTTGACTTTACAGCTAGTTCTATAATGCCCGAGTTCACCACATCTGCTACATATACGCTTCTTCCTCTCTTTATTTTGTTGTGCTTGTTCTAAGCCTGACTGAATTCTAGTGGCATTGCGTGGTCGACCTTTAGTCCTTGCAGATTTTTCAGGATCACGAACTGTAATCTGAGGAATGTGCTCCATTGTATGTGAAATGGGTGCTGAAATCTGAGGATTATCTTCTGTTTCTCTAACTTCTTCTTCAAGTGATTCTATGAATTTTGTTAACACATTATCTAATTTCTGCATCCTCTCTTCTGAATCAAATGCAAGCTCGAGCGCATTATTGAATTTTGCTCTTAAAGCCCAAGATTTCAACAAATTAATCTTCTCTTCACAGCTTGTGAGGTTTCTTCCAAATACAATATTGCCAACCCCAATGTTACGATGTCGAGCATGTATAGTCCAACGGTGTAGGATGTAATGACCGGGTAATGAAGAAATTTGGCTAGCCATCATTAGCGACAATATATGTCTACATACAACACCATTAGTTTCAAACAAAGCACAAGTACAAATGAATTGCATCTTACTGGATTGTTCATAAGTAACCACCTCCCATTTTCCTCTATCTGCAAACTTACAAATCTTGTATTCAATAATATCCCCATCTTTGCTCAATTCTTCACAAAACTCTGTAGCAAATCCTTTGAATTCAGTTTGGAACACATCAAACATGTTGCGTGTATACATTTCTCCAGCTTGGACCTCAATCGGATGTCCAAGGAGCATGACAGGCTTTGTGTTAAGACTCTTAAAATCTTCATGAGCTTCACTTAAGCGACGATGAGTTAATGCTTTTTCATATTGTAATACAAACTCGTGTAATTGAGTCTGTGAGTTAACATACCCATCAAAAAATGCATTAATACTTTCACTTCTTTGGCTCGATCTCATTCCAGCAAAAAAAGTGTCCTTCAAATAACATGACACCCAATGTTCTCGATATTTGTAAACAGTTTGCAACCATCCATCCTCTTCTTCATTTATATCAAACTTCTCCTTCATCTCTAACCAATGTCCTTCACACTGTTCAATTGAAGAACTATTACACCATAAGCCCCAATACCTTTGAAACTGTTCACCATAACGAGAAACCAAAGTAGGCAAATGATCAGTAATGTGCTTTTGCATGTGCCAAAAGCAATAACGATGTCTTGTCAGTGGAAACACAGAGTGAATAGCATTACACATGGCTCTATCCTGATCTGTTATAATAGCACCTGGTTCAACCCCATGCATGCATTTCAGCCATTCTTCAAATAACCACACAAAGGTATCTTCTTGTTCATCAGCTAATAATGCACAACCAAGTAAAGTGGACTGTCTATGATGATTCACACCAGTAAATGGAGCAAATGGAAGACTGAACTTATTAGTTCTGTATGTCACATCAAACACAACAACATCACTGAATTGCAAATAAGACGCTCTGCTCTATCCTGATCTGTTATAATAGCACATGGTTCAACCCTATGCATGTATTTCAGCCATTCTTGAAATAACCAGACAAAGGTATCTTCTTGTTTATCAGCTAATAATGCACAACCAAGTAAAGTGGACTGTCTATGATGATTCACACCAGTAAATGGAGCAAATGGAAGACTGAACTTATTAGTTCTGTATGTCACATCAAACACAACAACATCACTGAATTGCAAATAAGACGCTCTTGATCTTCCGTCAGCCCAGAAAACACTCCTCATTTGTCCACTACTGTCCACTTCTATTGCAAAATAGAATTCTGGATCATTCGCTGTCAAACTCTGAAAATGTTTTATGATAGATATGCATTCATGGCCAATATTGTTGACTCTCTGGTATCTGATGTGATCAATACACTGTTGTGGTGTCACTAATTCGCCTTCTCTTCCAGTGGTTGCGTTAATGACGCGAGAAATAGTGGATGGAGGCATTCCTTCTTCTTGCAGACTCTCAATAAGTCTTTTACAACTTTGAGATTTATGGAATTGTTGGTGTGATCTGTGCATCTTTGCTTTGTCTGGACTACTCAACACATGATTTGTATGTTCTTCAACAAACCCCGTGACCTCCCACGATTTGTCCTCTAATACTTTAACTCTCATCATTGCCTTACATCCCACTCGGGTCTCTCGCCGAAAAGGCATCTCCATCTTGTCTCTATTAGATCTATAGCCCTCCTTATCACAAACAAACTTTCTATCCAGCACGTCCCTTGTCTTCTTCGAGTAATTTACCGTGCTCTTCCTTATTCCAAAACCCATCAACAATGCGTAATGGTTATAATAGTTATAAGCTTCTTCATAAGTATTAAATTTCATTCCGAGTAGTGGCTTAGGAGCATTTTCTGTACTGGCAGAAATTTCAATTCCACTAGCACTTGATTCTCCCATTCCGAACACTTTTTTTGCTGTAAAAAAAATGCAAAGAAGAAAAAATTGAAAAAAAAGCCATAAGCGTAATAACACAGCAAGAAAAGCTATCCACACGGATAAGAGCACTGTCAATTTCAAACTTTGTTTAAGTTATAACACCATGAGAGCAGTTTTGAAGAAATCCTAGTTATCAATACAAGACACCATAATGGGATATAACACTGACACAAACACAAGATACCAGTTTCAAAAAATATGGGACATGTATACATGAGCGTTCACCTCTACGCATATGTATACGTACATTATATAAATATCTTGTAACTATAGTAGAGAAAATTGAATAAATAGATACCTTGCTTTCGATCTCAGAGAGCCCAGAGCTAGAATATAAGCCAATTCCGAGTGGTTCAACTGCCAATATGCAACTCAAGGCTTCATCAGATGAAGAGGCAAGTATTAATAATTTTCAGTTAACTTACTCAAAAATTACATCTAACAGGCAGCACAATGGTTTTCAGGTACCAGTCAAAGACAATATCTATTGGAAAGAGCTGACAGTGCTCTTATCCGTGTGGATAGCTTTTCTTGCTGTTGAAGTAGTTAAGGAAGAAGAGAGCTAGGATAATGGGGGAGGCGGGAGGATAATACCTCTGAGAGGGGACGTCGATCTCGAGATCTGAGAGAGATCGACAAAATGGTGGGATTTGGGGGGAGATTTGGGGCTCTTTTAGTCTTCGTCGCTGGGCATTTCGTCGATCTGAGATTTGGGGGAGAATTGGGCGCACCAGTGTTCTTTTGGGGAGAGAGAGAGGGATCTGTGAGCTGGCTCAGCGGTTTTAACTCTGCACCTTGAGAGGGGACGTCGATCTCGAGCTTCGTGGCGGTGCTGCTGGCGATCTCGAGCTTCGTGGCGGTGCTGCTGGCGATCTCGAGCTTCGCAATAGATATATTAATGACGCAAGTTGTAGAAGGTTGGATGTGTGAGATGTAACATTATACCAACCAGATACATACACAGGGGATATTGGATGTGAACCGACAAATCGTTCGCCAAAATGAGCTGTCAAAAGATAGAACGCGATGCACCCTCTCCAATATGATTAACAGTGACTATTATACCAATTATTTCTCTCTTGATAGTTTATTTATAGGAATGAACTATTAACTCATACCTATCCGTCAATTGTCATTTATATGCACAAGGGAATTAAGAGAAGATAAATTAAGCAATATAATCAGATGGACTTCATTAGCACAGGAAGAAATGAATGGATAAATTCGAAACTGTTAGCTATCTGAATCTTTTTCCCTGCTCAAAACTCTAAGACTTGTACTAATATCAACCAAAAAGTCAGATCCAAAAACAACCACGCACAACCTCCATTATTGGATGCTCTATTTTCTAATTTAACAATGTTTGTAGTAGTTGTATGAAGTTGCACTAAGGGGCAAGGCTCCACAAGATATGTTAGGCATTGTAAAGAGAGAAAAAAATCATTTTCTACCAAGGATCAAATCGCAAATTCTTAAAACTGTATAATCATGCAGGTGCCTATTGCGCTTGGTGTGACCATTTATGAAGCTTATTGCCTTTGCAAAGGGAAAAGAGCTATTGCATCTAGAGGAAACCAAGAAGTGAACTGGAAAGTACACCAGCTTACTCTTTACTGTTGCTTTGGAGTATTAGCTGGTATCGTTGGAGGCTTGCTAGGCCTTGGAGGAGGTTTTATCTTGGGTCCATTGTTCCTTGAAATGGGTGTTCCTCCTCAGGTTCTTCCTTAGCAAATATTACAATACATACCCTCATTTACGCCTAATTTTTCATGAGACAAGCATCTTTTCTTGAACAGAACAAAAGAGCTCGACCATAAAGCATTCTGTTTAAGTTTTAACAGAATCAACTCAGAGCCGCCCCTGCAGCCACGTCGTCGCTCACTTCGGACCCGGGGTCGACTGTACCCGCTTCAGTTCCGTTGTACCGCGTCCACATCGGCCCCACCGCTCGTCATCAGGCTCTTGGCCTCGCACTCGCACGCAAGATTCCTCTCGCCTTGTTTTCTTATTTATCTCGACTGTTACTTCCTGTTTAATTTAATTGTGTTAATAATAGTGGTTTTTATCATGTTATCTCGATTATTAACTGGAAATAATTGTTTAACCACTTTTACTAATTGTTTTAATGCTCAAACTTAAGATTAGCGTATTTAACATGATTAAATGGATTATTCTCAGAATTTAATGAATTATATTCATGGAATTGATATTTATAGTTCATCTTGCACTGTTGTTCTCGTTCACATTCATGATTCCCAACTCTGATACACAATATTAATAGCATTTATACATCGTTATAGTTGAGAATTGCGAGTATTGCTTGACTATAGTGATCCGTGAGATATGAGTTGTTGACTTGGACTTGGGATGTGTTTATTATTTATTTCCAGGCTCGCACCAGTGAATCGTTTCGCACTGGGTGGGTCTAAGGAGCGGTGATATTATGATTATTGATTATTTCTAGGTACGCACCAGTGAAACGTTTCGCACTGGGGTGGGTCTGAGGTACTAGTGAGATGTGGTTGTTAACCAGATATCCGATAATGTGAACTTTGACTCTAGTGAGACGTGGTCCAGGGAGATGACATAGGATGGCTAGTTACATGACCTCGTTATTTAGATGATTTTAGATTCTTGTGAGATGTAGACCAGTTGTTTTCTTTTCATACCTAGATCAGGATTAATATTTAATTATCTACAATTTAAGACATATGGTATATACATAAGGGTTTCCTTGTTTGGATTATTTCGCTCGACGTACTACGTCTCGAGTTGTAGATTTTTAAGTATTAAGTCCATCTAGTTGTATGACTTGTGACTTGGATGATTTCTGATCGCTAGCTACATGATCGACTCGTTACTTGATTGATTTTGTTGAATTTCCAGTTGCACGTCCTTTTATCATTTCTATTATCGTATCGATTTCCGCTTTGGTTTTTGTTTGTTCTATTTTTTTGTGGGGTCTTGCCGTGTCTCTGGTGTACGTCAGACTTAGAGGAAGAACAGGTTCAGCAGGAGCCAGAGGATTCTCAGCAGGAGTACCCTGTAGACGGAGCAGAAGAAGGAGTCGAAACCTATTCTTTCCATTTATTAGTTGATGGTTCCGTTTACTCTTGTAGTACTTCCCATTTCAGTTTGAACGATATATTATATTTCTCTAGTATTCATTTGTTCATTTTGTATAAGGGAATGTTGACCCGAATATTATGTCTCGGATGTTATCCCATTTGTGATATGATATTTTTATTCTGAGTTTGTCTATTATATTCTTGCTGATTGTGATTGGGGACCTGTGCCTTTGTATTGTATTTATTTCCACACGCTTAGTGTATTAGGTTGAGAAGAAAAAAAATAAATGGTAGTGTATATTTCTTCTCAATCTAATACGTCGCGGGCTTGTTCACGTTCCAATTTCCCGGTATTTTGGGAAGCGGGGCGTGACAATCGTGCACGGATCCAGGGTTTGTGCCTGGACTTGGCGCGGTCGACCGTCACGGTCAACCGCCACGGTCGATCGTGAGACCCTGTAGGTGAATTTGGTCTCTGTCGCTGGAGTTTGAGTTTCCTGTTCAGTTTGGGTTTGGTGTTTGCTATAAATACCAACATACGAATTAGGGTTTCTTGGGCTTTTGTTTGGAGATTGGTTTGGGGATATTTGGAGCACAGAAAAAGGAGAGTTTTTCTGATCAATTGTTTGAGGGTTTATTTGGAGAGATTAAGAGATTTGTTGGTGAGATTAGTTGATTGGTTTGAGCGTTTTGTAATCTCAGTTTGTACTCTTCTTCTCTATTAGTGAAAACCCAATTCCCTTCTTGCCCCGTGGACGTAGGCAATTTGCCGAACCACATAAAACTATTGTGTTTGGATTTATGTTGTTGTTTTGATTTGTTTAGCCTTTATCTCGACGTTTTTTTGATTTGGTTCTCGAAGCACGCCCGTTTTGTTGTCCCGCTTCCGCACCGCACACAACACCAGCTTCAAAAGGGCTCACGCCCAGGAGCTATCTCGCCTATGTGCCTCAAGGGTTATAGTTCCTTCATGGTCTCTATCTCTTCGTGGTCTGCTCATCATGTTCTCACTGCAGTTTACGCCCACGGACCCGAGCCCAGGCAAGCATAATGGTCGTGGGGTCCCCGGTGTTGTGCGCAGCGAAGCTCGAATGACATGAACAAGAGCGAGATAAATCACAACCAATAAGCAAACACAATACCACAGCAAGACAAACGAATTTTACGTGGTTCGGCAAGTTGCCTACGTTCACGGGGCAAGAAGGGGGAGTTCTTACTATTAGAAATCAAGAGAATACAAATAGGGTTACAAATCTCACCAAATAAACCCTAAAACAAAGCCTCTAGATCTCTCACAAATCTCCCACAAATCTCCCACAATTGGATACAGCAATCCCCTCTCAAAGACTGCTCAAATCGTCCTTACTTAACCCTAATTAATTAGAATTAACATTATATATCAACTCAGAACGAAATGGGTCAGAAAACCAAACCCTACTGCACACTGACTCGTGGTTGACCGCCGCGCCAGGAGCGGTCGACCGCGAAAACGACAGAAACTTTCCTGAGTCTATGGACTTTTAGCAGTCAACCGCCATGCCACACGTGGTCGACCGCGACCTGATATAGAACAGAACTCAGCCTCGTGCACGTTTGCAGTCGACCGTCGCGCCACACGCGGTCGACCGCACAGCACCCAAACCTATTCTTTCATCATTTCCTGCGGTCTTTGTCGCTGTGCTCGCCATTTTTTCTTCCATCCTCAACCATGATGTCCACATTGGCCATATCTTGAAAGTAGCTTCGTGAAATTGTTGACATGCTCGCTAATGGAAACTCTCCTCTTCATCTTGAACTGATAAAACCTCTTCTTCAAGTGAAGCTGATTCTCAATGCTCTTTGTAAGATACTTCTCATTGAACGTTTTCCACAATCTCTTCGCCAACGTCTCGT